TTAAATCCAGTACCCCTTCGTGCAATACCTTAGCCGTTAGTTTAGGGCAGTGTCCCTATTCGTTGGATTGCCTAGGCAATGTCTTTTACCAAATTGTCCTACAAATTCTTGGGTTTTTCTTTAGAAAGAATGAAGTGCGGAGGCTATAATAGGTAAAAATAAAGAGATATGGGCACTATTATTAAAAGATAGATAAGATATGCCTACAAGGGATTGTACCTCAAGTGGGTAATATGTATTTAATCATGTCCTTCACATCAATGAGGACATTGTCTCCAGGCAACCCCAGCTTTTTCTTTTCCACTTGTTTATCTTTGTATAGTAATAAAATATAAAGCAGAAAAAGAAAACGTTACGTTTTCTAAAATCTTTAATTATTTCACTGACCAATGTTTAAAACAATGCTTTAAATATTGGAATGGACCGTGACATTAATAGAAAAAAAAGTAGAGAGTTCAAAATCAAAGAATTAAATTGAGATCCAACTACAATCATAGTAGTGATTAAAAATAAAAATAAAAAAAAAATCCTTTTTTCGAAAAATGAACTAACAAAATGAATTCCGATACACCCGATTTTCAAGTTCAACCGACGGATTCTAAGTTTTTTCTTAGTAATTTTTCTTTTCAAAGTTTTTATTTTCTTATGTGTAATTGGATCAGATTTCAGAATGATTCTTGATTTTCCTTCTAATTGGCAGATTTTATCCACTTCTTATTACATTGGTGTAAAATTAAGTCCTCGAAGCAAACGACAAGGAACTATGACTATGTTTTGTACATGTAACATAACTGAATCAGACACACTTTTAGAAAAAGATTTATCTCGTCATTGATAGCGTTTTTTTTTCTCATTATCTTAATTATCGAGTTTTTGTGGGTTATTTTACTCGATTTTAATTATTCACTTATTTTAATTATCGAGTTTTTTTTTGGTTATTTTACTCTCGATTTTAATTATTTGTGCTTATTTTTGAGTTTTACAATGACTCCCGATCTTAAACCATTTTAGTGATTAAAGAGATGGAAAAGAGGCAAAAAGGGATCAGAAAGAGTGTGTTGAAATAAATGGTCAGACCCTAGTTGAGGGAGATGTATAAAGTCGGGACCACCAAAGGTTAAAGCTTGTCCAAACGAACATATCTATAAGTAATAAGTTCTACCCGGCAATAACTCGCTCAGTCGAGCTCCCCAAGGCATCGGGCGGGCTTGCTCGAGCGAGTAATGAAATTTGATGAGTGAATTTTGACTTTTAATCGACCTTTTCAGGGACAATTTTGGACATATGGAAATCCCAAAATTCGTATCTATATGTTTGAGGTATCTTGGATTTCAAAACAGAATCGGATAATTGGAGAAGAGAAGGGTTACGAATACAATTCTCTCACCTGGGTTTTCAAGAAAAGTAGTAGGAGGAAGAAGCAAGATTTGATGATTCAACCTCAAGATTGAAGATTTAATCTTAATTCATTTTTTCATCTTTTATTATTAAATTGGTGATGTTGTTCTTCAATTTTATGTGTCTGTATTTGACGAACATGCTTGCCAAATTCTACTGTAAGGACAAACGATGTAGTCTAGTTTTTAAGATTGAGTTTTCACTTTTTTTATCTTGACTTAAAAGTATACCTTTTCGTGCTTATGTTTTCGTGGGTTGAATTTGTTATATTTAAATGTCTGATCATCATTTGAAGGATTTGTGAATCAAAATGAGACGTATCAAAAAATTCATAAATTTTGATTGAACATAGAGATATACTTATAAGATTTACGATTGTGCGACATCTACACATAATGTTTTATATACACATGATAGGTCAAAATTTCTTCAACAACCACCAAGTAAAAAGAGAGAGAGAGCAACTTCTCAACTCTCTTTTTGACACTTCACATATAGGGATGTCAAAAGGGTCGCCTTTCACGAACCATGAGCCCGAGCCAAACTCGTGGGTTAAAGGGCCGAGCCGGTTCGACCCATTGCCATCCCTATTCACATGTATATAAATCTTTACGTAATTTCATTATGTACAAATATCATTATTCTAAAACTTATATAATTGTGTGAGGATTTCTGCTAGATATTTAATGCACTTGGTTATATTTGTAATTCACATAGATATTTAGGGAGTTTGTATAATTAATTAGTTTTGATTTTAGTCGATAGAGGCTATGGAATAAATTAGGAAAATCCGATCATTGCAAGATTGTATATTGTCAAAGGCTTAAAAAGTGAATGTCACTACATAAACTACGGTGACATCGTGAAATCGTAGCATCTCAAGTTCTGATATTCTAATTAATAAGCGATTTTATTACTTTAAGTAGACTTAGTTAAATTTACTCGTATTTTCAAATGATCATTCGAATAAAGCTATAATTATCAATATCGGTACTTACTAGCACAATCCTTATGAGTTCAACACAATCCACTTTATTACT